ATGCATGCGCATTTTCCGCAGCGCGTTTATAAATAAAATAAACTGGTCCGACGATGCGTAGTCCGTACAGTGCTGGAAGCGCTCTAGCTTTGCATGCACGGAGCATTTTCAGGAACACCGCACAAAATTTCTGACCTTCACTGTAAGTCGTATCGTTGTGAGACGAAAAGAAGACCTTGAGACGTGAGATGAAGCGCAACAGCCACCACACACACACAGACCCAACTACTGTAACCCTCCTCGCTGCGCATGTGCGCGCCGCGGCGTAATTAGGTATGCGTGACGTGTGTGACAACAAACTCTGTGTGATTCTACCCAGAGCGAATTGGAGCGTGTTCTCCGAGGTGACCGCTGTGACAGAGACATGCTCATCTCCAGTCCGGGTGCGGGCCAAACACACAGGGAGATTGCTCGGAAGGTATAGAGCACTGTAGCTAGCCGACGTAGGAGGGATATATTTCACTATTTTGACTGTTGTAGATGAGGAAAGGGGGAGGAGAAGGAGACCATCGACAAGAGCTGACAGAGAAGGAAGTGACTGGGCTGAACGTCGGCAACATGTGACACAAAGCGTTCATTCGGGTTTTAGCATTCAGCAGAATCAACTGATGAGTGTTTTATGGCGTCATGATGCTTGCATGTTTTGGCGTTGTCTTGGTGGTTTAGTTATCCCGGTCTGCTCTACATACTAAGTGAGAGTCATACTGTCACACTGCTTGAGGTTGCTTTGCTCTCCCTCTGGGTTTCGTCTGCTTGCAGACGGAGCTGACGAGAAAGGGGCAGAGGTGGTGAGGGCAGAGGAGACGATCAGCATGAGAGCAGACAGCACAGACGATGACCGAGAGTTAGTCTAGTGTGTGGAGTGGTGTGTGTGTGACTAGATGTCCTCCGGACGGCAGGAGACTGATGTTAGTGAACAGGCCACAGACAGGAGATAAGATGAGATAGCTCTGCCTTCAGCAGCACTGGGGGAAAAAGAGCAGTCAGATTCAGGGATGAGACAGAGAGTTAGTTCTAGGGTGTGAGTTTGTGTGTTGTGTGCTAGAGTCCCTCCTGTACTGCAGAGACTGAGTTGAGTGCAGGCCAAGGACATTGAGATAGCTCTGCTTCAGCAGCAACTGAAAGGAGCATGCAGAGTGTCTGCAGATGAGGACAGAGCGGTAGTCTAGTGTGTGGAGTTGTGTGTTCGTGACTAGAAGTCCTCCTGACTGCCGGAGACTGGAGTTCGGCAGGCCAGGACAGGGAGACAGCTCTGCTTCAGCAGCAACTTGATGTGAGTAGAATAATATAGGAGTCTGTGAAACCACACCCACACACTGCATGCAGGAATAGCTTATGTCTGTGGCAGACAAAAATGAGGAAATGGTACTTAATTTAGGTTTGTTTGGGTTGTAGTGTTAAAGTTACAGGTGGAGAAAAATAACAAGGAGCGAGACCGTCTTCAACAGCGTCATAAGCGCAAAGTATGTATATACATAGAGATTTAGATTGGGTGTCTATTCTCTTTCCTATTACCTGCAGCAAGGACCACTTAAATATGTTATATATCTTGCTCTTGCTCTTGCTCTTGCTCTTCTCTACATATACTTGTCTGCATCAACCCAGTATCAGGTAATTTTATACCACAAAGCAACTGAATATTGCACTAAGATTTAAGTGTAGGGGTTATACTATGGATAAGGAAACTTTTACTTTCACTGTCCTCATCCACACGTGCCTGTATATACAAAATGGGTGCAGACTGGCCGCCGAGAAACTGTTGCAAAATGTGAGTGACTTTTTCATATTGTGCAGGCCAAGGACAGGACTATAACTGGCTTCAGCAGCAAAACACTGGGGAAAACGAGCAGAGCAGCCCGGGGCCAGATTCAGGAGAGGGACAGAGAGGTAGTCTCGTGGGTGGCGTGGTGTTGTGACTAGATGTCTCGCTGCAGGAGACTGAGTTGGTGCAGGCCAAGGACTGGGAGATAGCATCTGCTTCAGCAGCAACTGGGGAAAAGTAGATATTTGATTGAAATCACAGCAAACACTTTGCAATCCAGGAGGAGTCGTGGCAGACAGAGATGAGATGCCCATACTCAGGATGAGGTTAACTCTCTTACTTAGCTTTATTTGTCTTGGTAGTGTTAAGTTACAAGTGCAGGAGAGAAGAGACAAGGAGAGAGACAGTGTCAACAGTGTCTGAGTGCAAAGTATGTACATGCAGATTTAGATGGGTTTCTCTTCACTTTCCTATTACCTGCCGGAGACATTCATATTCTTTCATCCATGCATATCTTTTGCTGCTCTGCTCGTGCCTGTGCTCGTGCTCGCTACAAATTGTACACATCACCCAGGTACTTTTACACACAGCAACTGAATAGATGCACTAGCTTAAAGTAGTTGGGTCAGGAGATGAAACAGAGCGTGAGTCTAGTGTGTGGAGTTGTGTGTGTGATATGAGTCCTCTCCTGACTGCAGGCCCCTAGCTCTGGTTTCCAGCAGCAACTGGGGGAAAGGAGCTAGCAGATTCAGGAGTGAGACAGAGAGTTAGTCTAGTGTGTGGAGTTGTGGTGTTGTGACTAGGAGGTCTCCTGATGCGGAGACTAAGTTAGTGCAGGCCAAGGACAGGGAGGAGCTCTGCTTCAGCAGCAACTGGGGAAAGCGAGCAGCAGATTCAGGAGATGAGACGGGAGAGTTAGTCTAGTGTGGAGTGTGTGTTGTGACTAGAGGTCCTCCTGACTGCAGGAGACTGAGTTAGTGCAGGCCAAGGACAGGGAGATAACTCTGCTTCAGCAGCAACTGGGGCAAAAGGTACGCTATGAATATTAACTCGTAATACCAGACTATGAATATCACTATTTCATGTGCCAGCAACAGCAGGAGTTGGAATATCCTTTGTCTTTCCTGACTCAAAAGCATGTGCCAAATAGTGTAGTATATTCTATTTCTAGAATAATAATTATTTCCTCTAGAGGGGGGACCTACTCAAGAAGGAGCCTAGTGCATATGCACATGTACTTCGTGCATTGACTGCATTATGCTCATAGATGATGAAATAATGATGTCATGTTCTGAAATTTCGACAGCTACATGCAGATGATCCTATTCTCACGCAAACCTCTTTTGGGTACATCACCGAAGCAAATGGACTTCATCTGGGAAGAAGCTGACATCAGTCTGCATTTCCCTGCCGCTCGCTGTCCAGTGACAACTGGTCTTCTGCTCCAGCCACACCTCACATCATGCTGTGGTCAACACCTCTCAGAGGAAGCTGTCAGCAGAATACAGGGAGAGGGAGGGGCATGCCCGCTATGCAATAAGGAGGATTGGAGCACAATGTTTAGCAAGCACTTCCAGCGTCAAGTGAACTCGCTGCGTGTGTTCTGTCGTCACAAGGACAGAGGGTGTGGCTGGCAGGGAGAGCTGGCTTCCCTTGATCGTCACGTCACGTCCTGCTCCATGAAAGATGCTCCACAAATAGAAGAACAGCCAACACTTCACGCGTAAGTGTGTACAGTGTAAAACGTAAACAATAATCCAAAATGTGTATTAATTGTGACATTGAAAACTTCTGAAATCATAGCATATTTCCAACCGCAGGAATGAAGATAACAAGATAATTGTTGCGGGTGTTCCTATTCTCGGGGCACAAAAGTTTTGGTACACTGGTAAGCAAATGGACTTCATCTGGGAAGAAGCTGGCATTAGTCTGCATTTCCCTGCTGCTTTCTGCGAGAGAGACATAAAGATTTCCGTTGGAATCTTCACAGACCTCGAACAAAATTGTATCCTACCTCAGCTCATGCCTAGGGCAAGTTCGACATATGAGATTAAAGCAAGTGCCCCGCTGCCTGCTCCAGTCAGAGTGAGGATAGAACACTGTGCAATTGTAGAGAAAGAAAACTCTTTGGTCCATATGGTAGCACACGGTGGTGCCCCCTACCAATTTAAACCTTTGCACGGTGGACATTTTCCACTGAATAAAATCATATGGGGAAATAGAAATGGAGGAATTTAGCATTTTGACGATTCTATATAACATTTTCAAAACCAGAATAGTGTTAGCTGTTTTTGTTGCTCACATGAAGGAGAACAATACCATTCACTTTTTAGTAACAAAAAACACTCCAGCAAACTGTACGGCTGTACAAAACAAGTACACAAATGCATCAAGTCTTCAATCGCATACCATGCGGTACTTCTACAGAACAACTGAAATTTCACTTTCAATACGAGAACTTTCTCCTGATTGCGACGGATGGATCATTAAACCAAGTTGCAAACCGGCAGTAGTCGACATGCTTGCCGTCCACACCTACGAACCAGGTAGTGTAATCCCAAAAATCGAACTGAAACTGAAATGGCATGGGAACTGGAGAGCCCAAAGAGCAAGAAGTTGAAATTGGAGTACAGGGAGTGAGAATGGAATCGTTCACTTTGTCCTGTAAACCGCAAAACCCCGAGCAATCAGCCCCTGTTCTTCCCCAGCAGTCGTTGCCCCAGCCGCAAAACCAGTCGTCGCCCCAGCAACCCTCCCCAAGTACATCACCACTACAGCAGCCTACAGACAGACCTACTCTACAACTGCTTCTGAGTTTCCCAACAAAATCAGGAGATCCCATTAACATCATTGAAAGGATTGGAACAGCATACCGCAAACTTGCGATTATTCTACTGGAAGATAAACACGGATCACTTATAGACACCATTGAAGCCGCACACAGATCTGATCCTAATCGAATAACTGAAACTATTCTACAAAAGTGGCTTGAAAAAAAACCACGAAGTTGGAGTGAACTCGTTGCTGCACTAAGAACAATAGAACATGGTGCATTGGCAAATGACTTGGAAGAAAATTTTTAAATTTCCAGCAAAGCATTTGGTTAGGAAGAGGGAAAGTTTCTTAATCTATACTGTATCACCTCTTGTAGCAATGGTTTTATACACGTATGTGACCATTTATTTGATATTCTAGATTTGTATCATAATCCATGACACCATCTGTTTAGACATGTCATTATGAATACCGGACAAAATTCATTATACAATTTCGTATGTACAGTAATGGAAAGAGTGTATATACAATTGTGATTGCAAGGTCAGTCTGCATGACGGCGGTGATCAGAAACTGTCACTCGGAGGACCAAGAAAAGACAATACCTGAATGAAAAGACAATACCCAAATAAAACACTATACCATAATACCCAAATATTAATAAATAGACCCTACACCCTAATTGAGCGACTGCACCACTGAGTAATTTTGACACGGATCTCCCCCCCATAGAGAACACACACTTCTTTTTATTTAGTGCGACTCTTGGCAGGATGATGAGGCAGTCGGTGTGACACGTGCGGTATACGGTGGACCGGACCCACACCAGTGCTCATGCGCGCGCAATGGCTTCGCTACAGAGAAATAGCTTCTTTTCTGGCGAGAAGGCGTCCTAGGAGGCAGGAAAGGTACCAGTAGGTAGCTCTGACGGGAAGCTTTACTTATAGGCAAAAAAGTGGTTTTGCCTTACCGGTTGGTGTAGGCGTTATATTCACGCGTACTCGATAATTTAACATTGCGGTGTAAGGTTGGTTTTTGCGTGCACGGTCACAAATAAATAGACCCTACACCCTAATTGAGCGACTGCACCACTGAGTAATTTTGACACGGATCTCCCCCCCATAGAGAACACACACTTCTTTTTATTTAGTGCGACTCTTGGCAGGATGATGAGGCAGTCGGTGTGACACGTGCGGTATACGGTGGACCGGACCCACACCAGTGCTCATGCGCGCGCAATGGCTTCGCGCGCGCGCTAACCAGTTTTAGGGTGTGACCGAGAGTAAAGATGGCAGCCGAGGACGTTCTTGAACAGTATCCTACTTTGAAACAGTTCGTCCTCTCCAACGTGCGACTCACTGGCATCGGAATCGGCGCCGGAGCCTATGGCAGCGTGGAGGAGGTGGCCGTGCCTGGAGCCATCTGCGCCGCCAAAAAGATCCATGAAGAGATTCGGATCGAGGTGACCACCGAGAATTTTTGGAGGAATGCCAGCTGATGAGCACCCTCCGCCACCCGAACATCGTCCAGTTTCTGGGAGTCGCTTTCTTTCCCGGCTCGCGACTGCCAGCCATCGTCATGGAACGACTGCTGACAAGTCTTCACGACTTGCTCGAACCCCAGCGGCCCCCGCCTCGTTCGTCCAAGCCATTTATTCCTTTAAGTCTGAAGTGTTCCATCCTGCATGACGTAGCGTGCGGCCTGGCATACCTCCACGAGCGATCTGTTGTCCACCGCGACTTGACAGCTAATAACGTTCTCCTGAACTCGGGGATGGTAGCCAAGATAGCGGATCTTGGAGTTGCACGTATACTCCCTGATTTGGCTCCAGCCACCCTAACCTTCGCACCTGGAGCTAGCGTGTACATGCCTCCAGAGGCTCTAGAAAGCAAGCCTGGAGAGGAAAATGAAGGCAGAATGTCGAAGTACGATGCAAGTATCGACATCTTTTCGTTTGGTGTTGTAGCCATGTTTACCATCAGCCAAACATTTCCCTACAAATTGCTAGCTCCAACCTACACTAAAGATGGAGAGAATCCTGTAGGTAGAAGTGAACTAGAGCGACGACAGGAGTACATGACGATAGTTAACAGCCAGCTAGAAGGAAAGCATCCTCTCTTAGTAGAGATAATCGAGAAGTGCCTTGACTTTCCAGGTAAACGGCCAGATGTTAAAAAGGTTCTGGATCTGTTGGTGGAGGCCAGAAAAGAAGTACAAGATGAACAGATAAGCAAGAACAAGCTGGATCTAGTCCAAGCTCTTCGTGAAGCACACATCAGCCACCAGGTAAGGGAGCTGTTTATAATAATTATTGGGTTATTGAGTCCCAGAAACATTCTGGAGAGGGACAGCCCAGGAATGTGGATAGATGTAGCAACCTATCATACTGTTGTAGAAGGTGCTTTTTACACGCCACTTAATCTGGATTCTTTCTAATCCTGGTTTTAATCTGCCATGCAAAAGTGGCTGTATGTGGCGAGTGGGTACGAGCCAACCTAGTTGAAGAATTTCTATCCATCACTGTCCACTTATACATATGCAGCTGATAACACTCCTTTTTTTCGAGGGCCAGGGCTGGGAACAAGGCTAATATTTGTAATACCTTGAGTTAGTAAATATCATTGCTTTTTTTGACATTATGATTATGAACTTTGCGAACTAATGACCTTGCAGGAAAATGAAAATCAGCTACAGTCCAGTCTGAAGGAGCAAGAAGCACTCAAAGAAAAGAATGAAAAGTCACTTGAGACTATCAGGGAGAAGAGACAGCAGATTCTAGAGGTTAGTCTGGTGTGTATTAGTATGTTTTGAGCATCAAGACACCTTCCTGAATGTAGGAAAATCAGTTGGTGCAGAACAAGGACAGAGAACTGACTGAGACTCTGGAAAAGCTGAGGCAGAAGGTATAATTATGGTATTGATAGCTGCAGCTAAAACCCAGCAATTATTAATGCAAAAAGGTTCATGTTTTTTTTTAATGAAGTCATGATGCGATTGCCATTGCCTTTCTGCAGGAGGAACAGTTACAAACAAGTGAGAGAGAAAAACAGAGAGTCCAACAGCAGTTGACAAGAAAGGTGGACGTTTTTTGCAATAGCTTGTCTTACATTCTCCCTCTTGGTTACTTCAGGAAGCAGAGCTGACGAGAAATGAAGCAGAGGTGACGAGAAAGGAGGCAGAGCTGACGAGAATGGAGGCAGAGGTGACGAGAAATAAAGCAGAGGTGACGAGAAAGGAGGCAGAGGTGGCGAGAATGGAGGCAGAGGTGACGAGAAATAAAGCAGAGGTGACGAGAAAGGAGGCAGAGGTGGCGAGAATGGAGGCAGAGGTGACGAGAAATAAAGCAGAGGTGACGAGAAAGGAGGCAGAGGTGACGAGAAGGAGGCAGAGCTGACGAGGGCAGAGGAGACTATCAGGAGAGAGCAGCAGCAGATTCAGGAGATGAGACAGAGAGTTAGTCTAGTGTGTGGAGTTGTGTGTTGTGACTAGAAGTCCTCCTGACTGCATGCAGGAGACTGAGTTAGTGCAGGCCAAGGACAGGGAGACAGCTCTGCTTCAGCAGCAACTGGGGGTAAGTAGAATATTGGGACTCTGTGAAATCACACCTAGTCGCTGCATGCAGGAGGAGAGCTTATGTCCGTGGCAGACAAGAAAAATGAGATGCCACATACTCAGGATATGGTATAATCTCTTTATTTAGCTTTTGTTTGGGTTGTTAGTGTTAAAGTTACAGGTGCAGGAGAAGAACAAGGAGCGAGACAGTCTTCAACAGTGTCTGAAGCGCAAAGTATGTACATGAAGATTTAGATTGGGTTTCTATTCCATTTCCTATTACCTGCAGGAGAGACAACTAAAGACATCATTTGTGTTTCATTTTTTCATCCCTATATCTCTTGCTCTTCTCTTGCATGTACTTCTTTGCATCAACCCAGTATCAATTGCAGGTAATTTTTATACCACAAAGCAACTTGAATAGATGCACTAAGATTAATGTGGGGAGTATACTATGGGTAAGGCAATGTGTGCATGCTCCGCGAGTAGACTGGCCGCCAAAAAACTGTTGCGTGACTTTTTCATAGAAAGGGGAGCAGATTTAGAAGTTGAGAAAGCAAACTAATCTAAAACTGGCATTGTGTGTAGTTGTGTGTTGTGACTAGAGGTCCTCCTGACTGCAGGAGACTGAGTTAGTGCAGGCCAAGGACAGGGAGATAGCTCTGCTTCAGCAGCAACTGGGGGGAAAAGGAGCAGCAGATTCAGGAGATGAGACAGAGAGTTAGTCTAGTGTGTGGAGTTGTGTGTTGTGACTAGAGGTCCTCCTGACTGCAGGAGACTGAGTTAGTGCAGGCCAAGGACAGGGAGATAGCTCTGCTTCAGCAGCAACTGGGGGGAAAAGGAGCAGCAGATTCAGGAGATGAGACAGAGAGTTAGTCTAGTGTGTGGAGTTGTGTGTTGTGACTAGAGGTCCTCCTGACTGCAGGAGACTGAGTTAGTGCAGGCCAAGGACAGGGAGATAGCTCTGCTACAGCAACAACTGACTGAGACCCGCAAAAAGCTGAGACAGGGGGTAAATACTATTGATAGCTGCACAGTGTGTCACCAGGCCTCCTGACTGCAGGAAAAAGAGCTGCAATCAACTTCGGCTGAAGTGATTGACTTCAAAAAGAGTCTCCTCGGGAAAAATGCAAATTTGGAGACACTGAGGAGAAGGGTCAGCCAAAATAATAAAGAAGAGCACTGAAGTGCAAACACTCAGCGCACTGGATACGTGAACCATACCCAGTATCGCTAATTGATGGGCTAGGCTGATTTACTGTCTCCTGTATAATATCAGACATTTTGTTCTGGTATATATCTGTCTCTCTCCCTACAGTTTGCCCTTACACATCACACGCCAGTGGACGTGGGCAAACATCAGCTACAGTCAACGAGCAAGCATTCTTATTTGTTGAAATTACTGACTCTAATGGCAGGCGTTATCCAATAGAACAGGCTGTCGCAGCACAATTGGAAATTGTTCCGAAACCTACTCCCACAAATAATGATAGTTTGCTGTCTAATTTGCTCTTTGGAATCCTTCCAAAACTGATTTAACAGTAGCCGTGATGTCTCCCTCCAAATACAAGGTGTCGTACACACCAGTCAGTCGAGGCCAACACAAACTCCATGTTCAAGTCAACGACAGAGAAATCAATGGCAGCCCCTTCACTGTGACCGTGTACCCTGACCCCAGACAACTAGGCCACCCAGTGAGGACTGTGACTGGCTTGAACCTTCCATATGGCATTGCCTTCAACAGTCATCAGGAGATGATTGTCAGTGAATATTTGGGTCATAGAGTGTCTATCTTTGACATCAGAGGACAGAAAATTCGAATAATTGGATCACGTGGTGACAGTCCAGATCAGATGGAATACCCTACAGGCATAGCAACTGATGATACTGACAATATTTATGTGAGCAGTCTGCACAAGCTACAGAAGTTCACTGGCAGCGGTGAACTGATCAAATGTATTGGTCGGAGGGGCAGTAAGGAGGGGGAGTTTGATGTTCCATATGGAGTAACACTGTATGACAATCAAGTATATGTGTGTGATCGCAATAACCATCGCATTCAGGTGTTTGACCTCAACTTGAACTTCGTCCGATCCATTGGCTCACATGGCAAAACAATAGAAAAATTCGATAAACCATATGATGTCAAATTTGACACTGCCGGGAACATGTATGTAGCTGAGTGGAGTAACAACAGAGTGCAAGTGTTCAGCACAAGTGGCCAATTCTTACGAGCATTTGGTAAGAAAGGCGAAGGAAAACTAACTCATCCATCAGGTCTTTTCATTTCTGGCAAGTATGTGTATGTGTCTGATTATGATGGCAATCGTATTGTAGTGTTTAAAACCTCGGGTCAGTTTGTCACCTCATTTGGAGAGGGAGCTGTTAATGGTCCACGCAGTATTGCCTCTTCTTCAGATGGTTTTATACATGTTTGTGACGCTCGAGTCAAAAAAGTATTAATATTTTAAAGTACTGTATCATACATTGTTTTATAAAGTACTGTATCATACATCGTTTTACCATGTTTTATGTTTTGTGCAACATTACATTACATTTTGTATAGGAATAATTATTGTATAATGATTCAGAATAAGTTAACCCTCGGCATGCAAGCGCAGCGAGATATACAGCATTAGTCTGTGTGTTTGTCTTTTTCTACACCTTATTTTCTTACTTTGTCAGAAAAAAGCTGCCGTCTTTTTGAAAGCCTATTTCACGGGGAGTCATACTCACCAAGTTCTGTCTCACAAGCTAGTTAATCCAACAACTATATAAGCAAAGCATTAGTGCTGGTCATGTGACCTTCAGCCAATCAGATCCTTCCATGCCCATTTTTTAAATCGCTTAATACACTGCAAATGCATACTTTGGCAGATGTTCCATACAATAGAACATACTATTGCATATTGCATATTTATTATGTGCAGTTGCGGAAGTAAAGTAATGCCCGAGGCACTAATTGGAACCGCATAATGCACTGCGCAGTAACAGTAAACACAATAATGTATCAGCTGCCCTCTTTTCCTTATAAAGTCGTCAATGATCTAGTGGAAAGAAATTACATGCACCTGATCTACTAGCTAGTCAATTACTTAACAGTGCTATTGGCTACATATAACCTATCCAGATTCCCAGAATGTACTTGCAAGTGACTAAACACAGGCTATATAATAAAAAGAGCGAACAAGTTCTTTTCTTACCACTGACTGTGTCAAAGAAAGCTGTAGACTAGAAGTTATGAACACCTGATCTACTAGCTGGTCAATTACTTAGCAGTACAATTGGCTATATTATATCGGTAACCTATCCAGATTCCTAGAATGTACTTTAAGCTAAACACAGGCTATATATAAAATAGAGCAAACAAGTTCTTTTCTTACCACTGGCCATGCAAAAGATACTGTGTCAAAGAAAGCTGTAGACTAGAAGATGTCAGGCAAAGCAATCGCTATCTTTTCGCTGGTTATTCTGGCTGTGGTTATGGAGCTTGCTGTCTTAGTGGACGCAGCACCTTATGCTGTCTTCATGAATGGAGCACGGCCTTATATGATGGATGTTGAAGGTAGGATTCTAGAATCAGTTGTAAGAAAGAGTGCTTCATGTAACTTATAGTGCTAGTGTTGAGAGAGTGAGCGTGTAGCTAGTAAAAAGCTTGCTAGAGGAACATGCAGAAGTCAAGATCACTGAGTTTAAAAACCAACAATAATTATTACGCTCTTTGGTGGCTAGCTATCTAAAAACAGCATAGCTACAGAGCCTTCACGTCAGCTCAGGTTAAAGGTGACTGTGGCAGCATGCATAGCCTTACTATACCACTGTGTGTTGGTTACCCACTGTTGTGGGGTGTTCCTGTGCACCATTTCCATACACAATGGCTGTGTACATATCTTTAGCCTTTGTGAGTGTTTTATAATGATGCCCACGATCCTGGTTCATATGTTTTTCGTCACAGGCACTTGTTATGCAAAGAAGTGTCGTCGTGGAGATTCTACAAAAGTGAAAGGCACTGACACGTTCAGTATAAGTAACAAGTGCTGCGATCTTGGATACAAAAAATTCGATATGGGAAACGGTTTTTGTAGACTTTGGTAAGTACTATCAAGTTAAAGATTATTATTTAATCACGTGGTCTCTTTTGTTGCTGCGTAGTATTAGGAGCTATTATGGCAGCTATTACAGGACCAGAAAGGGCCTACAGTGAATGGAGCAAGACTTTGTTAGCTACATGAAAACACATTTTTGTGTTATTAGTTTTCTCAATAATGTTGAAGTTCTGAATAATAAGTCTGATCATGCTACGCACGGAACACAGAGAGTCTACCTGTACATCCTTGTATGTTTCAGGCAAAGATTGGAAACATGACCTGGCAGCACCTCTAGAACTATGATAAGGACAAAGTTCAGTTTATCATGCACCTCAGCATGCCACCATTAGCTCCATTTCCTGGCACGGCCCTTTGATACGCTTTGTGGTTGCTATCATCACACCCTGGGACAATAATCCAACTTAGTCAATGACCCGGTGTGTGCTACTATGGAACAGTGTAACACAATATCTTGGTTAATATTAATATTAGTCCTGACTCCGTTCAAGGAAGTCCACATCATCTGAAGCACAGCAGTGCATCCTGAAGACTAGCTACATGACAAATGAGTGTCCACATGCAAAGCCACGGAGGTTATATTCATCAACAAACTGTAGCCTAGCTAGATATTGGTCATGCCCCTGAGACATGACAGCATCAACCCAATCATGACTTTCAGTACCACACGTGGATTAAGACGGGGATATAAAAGGTAGCCGGTTTTCTCTTGCTTCACTCACAACCTCAGTGGCTGTTTTGAACAAGCAAAAGCTAAGCAGCAGCATAAAAAAAGGGAAAGACTCTAAAATGTCTGGAAAAGCCATTTTCCTTGTGTCAATAGTCATTCTGGCTGTGGTTCTCGAGCATGCTACCATGGTGGATGCCGTTGCAAACGGAGCTCCTCCCAGTTGTAAGGAAACCATGTAGAAAATATCATGTGATGCCATGCACACTTGCTTGTACAATCTGTCAGTGTATTTGCCTATGTTAGGCATGTGTTTTATTTTTATTTGGATGTAGTTATGTATGTATAGCTACAGATCTTATCTACTGTTTGTTCCCTCTATTTCATGTCCTTGGCTGTAGTGTGGTATAATCATGTCACTTATGGCAATGTGCAAGGAGGCGGTCAATGCTGCAGAACAGCTGCCTCTCAATGAAGGTTTGATTTGTGTTCCTGACGTAGTGATGGCTAATTGTGTTGCCCTCTATCCTCGTCTCTCTCTCTCTCTCCGCTCTCTCTCTTCTCTCGCAGGATGGAGTATTGAGATAGAAGTGTTCGATACTCGTCATTTGCCACTGATATGACAGGAGAGAGGGAATGACTGCCTTCCTGGAGAAGAGAAAGCCACAGTGGAACGACTGTTGGACAAATTATGCACTGCCAATGCGATTTACTTTTGTTTCCCAACGTTACTGTCACATAAATGAGGTTAAGGCTCCCTGGTGTCTGTGGCGTATTGTGTTCTTGGTGCCTGGTGTCCATGGTGCCTTTGGAGTCCTTGGCTTTCTCTCGAGGGCATCTTGTCATGGGCGTGTTGGGGCGCTGACCCGCTGGTGCTCGAGCGACTTCACGGGTTGGTGCGCGTCGGTGACAGAAATCGTGGCAGAAGGACAGCAGAACCACTACTGTAACCTCGCTGCGCATGCGCGCGCCGAGGGTTAATGAATCCAATATAGCAAGAGCAATAATCGCGCGAGGGCCTTGCCCCGCCCTCTTACCGACCGCGCGCGTGTGTCTTCACGATATTGGGGGGCGAGCCAACATGGCGGAAAAGTTTGCTCCAGAGCTGAAGCCGTTTGAGATATCCGATCGCGATGTGCGAAAGACTGGCATCAAGATCGGTGTCGGATCCTACGGCTGTGTATGGGAAGTGGCCGTGCCTGGAGCCATCTGTGCCGCCGCGAAAGAGATCCACGAAATTTTGATCGAGCGCTCTGGCATTCCGCGACGAAATCTCGCCGAGTAGTAAGTAGTCGAAGTAAAAGCGCAGTTCGTGAGAGAATGTCAGCTAATGAGCACCCTTCGCCACCCGAACATCGTCCAGTTTCTAGGTGTAACCTTTTTTCCACGTTCGCGACTGCCGGCCCTCGTCATGGAGCGACTGCTGACGAGTCTTCACGACTTTCTGGACCCAGAAACGGACCCGCCTACCCGCAACACGCCGCAAGCGTCCTTCTTTTCTTATCCCGACTGAGCTCCTAAAGTGCTCGATCCTGCACAACGTGGCGTGCGGCCTAGCCTACCTCCACGAGCGATCAATAGTTCACCGCGATTTGTCGGCCAGAAATGTTCTCCTGAACGCCGGGATGGTGGCCAAGATAGCAGACCTGGGCGTGGCTCGTATCTTGCCAGGCTGGGCTGCGCTCACCATGACACCGGGACCTGGTGCCCCTGTCTATATGCCTCCAGAGACCGTACCTGGGACGGGGAACAAGTCTGAGTACGATGCAAGTATTGACATCTTTTCTTATGGTGTTATAACAATTTTCACCCTCGGCCAAACTTTCCCATGTAAGTTGCTAGATCCCACCGACGGTCAGCGTAATCCGATACCTGAGTTAGAGAGACGAAAGAAGTACATAGATCCACTCTACAGTCAATTTGGTAAGGAGCACCCACTTATGGAGTTAGTCAGGAGGTGTCTGAGCACCCCTGATAAACGCCCTGGTGTTCAAAATGTGCTGCGGGTGTTGGAGGAGGCTAGGGCTAAAGTGAAGGATGAGCAGATGGGCAAAAACAGACTGGAACTGGTCCATGCACTTCA